AGAGGGAAGCGAGACGTATTTGCCGCAATAAGAAGAGAGAGGCCGAAATACGTGAGTGCGAAGAGCTTGAAATGCTGGCCGACAGGAAGAATGCCCGAAAATTTTACCAGAGAGTTAGGCGACTTACGGAAGGTTTAAAGACCGGGGCGCACTCCTGTAAGAACAATAATGGCGACCTAGTAACTGATGTCCAGAGCGTACTTAAATTATGGAGGGAACACTTTTCCGCCCTACTAAATGGTAGCAGCACGGAAAGTTGTGGAGAAGAAGAACCCGAGCCCGCAGTCGATGATGACGGAGTCGACGTTCCACCGCCTGACTATGACGAGGTACGTATAGCAATAACGCGGCTGAAAAACAACAAAGCCGCTGGAGCTGACAGCCTGCCAGCTGAGCTATTCAAGTACGGCGGCGAGGAGTTGATAAGGTGCATGCATCAACTCTTGTGCAGAATATGGTCAGATGAACGCATGCCCGACGACTGGAATTTAAGTGTGCTCTGCCCAATCCACAAGAAAGGTGACCCCGCCATTCGCGCCAACTACCGCGGGATCAGCCTTCTAAGCATAGGTTACAAGGTCTTATCGAGCGTATTGTGTGAAAGACTGAAGCCCACCGTCAATGAACTGATTGGGCCTTATCAGTGTGGCTTTAGACCTGGCAAATCCACCATAGACCAGGTATTCACAATACGCCAAATCTTGGAAAAGACCCGCGAGAAAAGGATCGACACTCACCACCTATTTGTCGACTTTAAAGCCGCTTTTGACAGCACTAAAAGGAGTTGCCTATACGCCGCTATGTCTGAATTTGGCATCCCCTCAAAACTCATACGGCTGTGTAAAATGACGTTGAGCAATACCACCAGCTCCGTCAGAATTGGAAAAGACCTCTCCGAGCCGTTCGCCACAAAACGGGGTTTCAGACAGGGCGACTCCCTTTCATGTGACTTCTTTAATCTGATGTTGGAGAAGATAATAAGAGCTGCAGAACTGAACCGCTCAAGAACAATTTACTACAAGAGCGTGCAATTGCTGGCTTATGCCGATGACATCGACATCATCGGTAACAAAAACCGCGAAGTCTGTTCTGCCTTTTCCAAGTTGGATAGGGAAGCAAAGCGCATGGGTCTGGTGGTAAACGAGGACAAGACGAAGTATCTCCTGTCATCAAACAAACAGTCAGCACATTCGCGCCTTGGCACCCACGTCACTGTTGACAGTTACAATTTCGAGAAAGTAGAGAATTTCGTTTACTTGGGAACCAGCATTAACACCGATAATAATGTCAGCATTGAAATCCAACGTAGAATCACTCTTGCCAACAAGTGCTACTTTGGACTGAGTAGGCAATTCAGGAGTAAAGTCCTCTCTCGACGTACGAAAACCACGCTCTATAAGTCACTCATCATGCCCGTGCTGGTATATGGCGCAGAAGCATGGACAATGACAACATCCGATGAGGCGGCTCTTGGAGTGTTTGAGAGAAAGATTTTGCGGAAGATTTACGGGCCTTTACGCGTTGGCGACGGCGAGTACCGCAGACGATGGAACGATGAGCTGTATGAGCTTTACAACGATATGGACATAGTGCAGCGAATTAAAATACAGCGGCTCCGCTGGCTTGGTCATGTCGTTCGAATGGACACCGACGCTCCAGCTCTGAAAGTATTCAACTCGGAACCCGCTGGTGGTAGCAGAGGAAGAGGGAGGCCCCCACTGCGATGGAAAGATCAGGTGGCGAAGGACTTGGCTTCACTTGGCGTTTCCAATTGGCGTCAGTTGGCACAGAGGAGAAACGACTGGCGTGCTTTGCTGAACTCGGCCAAAGTCGCTTAGGCGGTTACAGCGCCAAAAAAGAAGAAGAAGAAGAAATTACTTTACGCTATTTCCAATTATTATATTTAAAAATCCCCAACAAAATTTTGTGTTTTGAAATTTGTATATTAAAAAATTTAAAATGGCAAAAGTAAAATTGTGCCAATTTATCCGAGAAATTATTTATGGAAGAATGTTTAATAAGAGGTAAGCTTTAACCATTATTACATTTTTGCGCAATTTGAGACTTTTTTTAATATTATTTCTGAAAACTTATTTATTTGTATAAGATCTACAATATATATATATATATACATATATGTATATATTTAAAGCTTTAAAGTTGAAAATGGTTTATTCGAAAGCAAATATAATGACGAAATAAAAGACTTGTGGTTAACTAAAGATAACTGCCGCATGAAGCACTATCTTTACTTGAGAAGCTATCTTTACCACAGAAGACAACGACGAACTTTATTAACACTTTCAATCCTTCTGCCCAATCTTTATTACTGATACACTTTCTAACCAATTCCACTAATCAAATCGTGTTTTGTTTTCTGTTTTTTAGTGTGCGTAAGACTAAAAAAGTTAAATTTGATTCACAAAAAAAAAGTTTTCTACTTTAACTATACAAAACTAATTATCCGACATTGCCATCTCCAAACACTCTTTCTTCTAAAAGACTGTCCAAATCAATTGCCATTTCAAAATTCGAAACTTAGATGCGAGCTCGTAATCAGCGATATCAAAAATACCAATATACCCTGTTTTAAAAAAGTTTACCGAATTCTTCATTTTTCTATTCGCCCTATTTGACCCGCTATTTTGAATTTTTAAATCTGACTTCAGATTCGTAATAAGCGCACCTTTGCATTCCATGTTTTATTAAAACGCCTTCATTTCTAAATTTTTGTGTTCGTCATATTTGATCCGCTATTTTGAATTTTTAAAATCTGACTTCAGGTTCGTAATCAGCGACCTCAAAACCATATAGAAACAAGGTCGTGTCAAATTGCCTCAAAGCGTCTTTGAACAAATAGTTTTGTCCACCTCAATTTGGATTTCAGACCACTGTGCGCCATAATAAAATTGACAAATTGCGAAGTTTCTTAATGTGACCTTTATGGTATGTTACGAACCCGCTAAATACATTTTTAGAAGTTTCAAGCTTACGACATACAACAACACAACACTTAGGAGCACTTTCGGTAGAAGAAATATTTTTGAAGATTCTCATCTTTATATTACATTTTCATTGGCCCCAAATACCTGCTTTGAAATCAGTCATTTGAAGGTGTTTACACTGCTTGATCCTCATTTGTTTCGACTTCTCATCAATTGAAAAGGGAAGACAAAAACAAAATTAATGTAAACAAACACTATATTTATAATATTTTTAACACTTTTTGGACACAAAAAGACAATTATTCTTTGATTTAACTAAAAATGTGTAAATCTTACGTATAAAGCCAAAGCTTTTGTGGAACTTTTGTTTCCAAGTGAGTTCAATAAAATAGTACGGCAATTGAAACGCATTTTCTTCGTGAGTTTGTTTAAATGCGCAGAAATACGTCATTCTGGAAATGCGAATTTGTATGAAGAAATGTGTGATTTGGTCACGCATTTCAAATTCCTCGCCCAAATGACGCACTTGGGCTCAATGTAACAGTAATATTAATTTGAGCCACGAATATTTTTTACTCTTGGTTGACCGAGCTTCAAAATTTTACTCGTTTTCAAATTATGAGTAATGAGTCCAAAATTGGCAATATGTAATAAATTAGTTCACACATGTTGTAAAAATTCACTAACTGAGGCCATGAAAGCAGAAGTGGCCCAAACTTTTTTTTTTGTAGTTAACTTCTTGAAATAGTTCCAAAAGTTATAAATTTTAAAATAAATGTTGCTCATTCATTAATTTCGTGGTACGTAATTTAGCTTTGTACCTTAAAATTAAGGAATGAGCGACTTTTATTTTTAAATTCATCCCATTTGAAACTATTTTAAGTCGGCTGGTACAAAAAAAAATTGGGTTAGGCCACATCTGCTCTCGCGGCCTCAACTACCAATACCTTCATTGGATAATCTTCAAAGATCTAATTTTATTTTGCTTAAAGATAAACTCTGGTCCATAATTGAGACATAAAAAATAAAAAATAAAAACCCCAAAGGCTTCCAAAAAAGATTTTTAAATTTCCAAAAAATTCTAATAAAAGATGCGAAAAATAATAATTTTAATATGGTTATTGAGCTTTATACCACTATTATGTTTATTAGGAAAAATGGAAAAAGCAACAAAGTCTAAGCGGGGTGTGCATAGCTCACTGGTTAACGCTTCTGACTTTGCACATCGATAACGCGGGTTCGATCCCTGCTGCAGTCTAGACAAAATAAGTCTGATGAGGAGATGTGGTAATCTCCGAAATAGCACCTGTAACTTCTACCGTTTAGACTTTGTTGCTTTTTCCATTTTTCCGAATAAACATAATCTTGGTATAAACCGCAATAACAATATTAAAAATAATATGTTAATAAGCCACAATAACATTGACAAAAATAATTTTGTTCTAATCAAATAACTTAAATGAAAAAATTAGCGGAAAGCAATTATTATCGCCTTAGCTCTTACCGCATTATTTCCACTACAAAAAGCATGTGTCACAAATAGTCGCAAAATTTCAAAAAGTTTTCAAATTCCAACATTCAATTGTTTACACATTCTTGCATCTCGTGCACGCACAAACACTACCTCTTTTACAAGTATTATTGTATTTATATATTTTATATATATGTGTACGTTTACATTGGCACGCACGCCTGCTCGACCGGCCGGAAATGCACAAACGACGCCGGAAGCGCACACAAAATTGCGGCGAACACCTCGTAATTCAACGTGCCTGTGTAGGCAAATAAGCTTGCCGGCAGAAATTTATGACTTTCGAGGGGATGAATTGCTCGCTTTACATTGTAGCATTTTTTTTTTACTAATGTTTGAAAGCTGTTTTTTGTTGACTTTTAGCTCGAAATTTTTTAACTTAAATTTTTCTGCACGTAATTCTATAATTTCATACTATTTATGCTTATTCATTTAGTCATGATTATTTTGCTATTATTTACTTCATTATTTTTCCATTGCAGTACTTTAGCATGTATTAAATTTTTAATTAAATCGCATTCAAGGTTTCTTAACTTCACTTGAGATATTCCTGTAAATTATTTGGCATTATTTCGTACACTTCGTTAGCGTTGTTAGATTATACTTCAAACTTTTCTATTTTGTTTTAATTTGATTTATTTAAGCTTCCAACTTTTTTTTGTTATAGCAACATTATTCCTTATTTTCTGTTTCCAAAAACTTTTCTCATCTTTTATCAAATCACTTATCACATCAACACTTTTGTTACCTCTTTGAAAATCAATTCCGTCTTTTAAACTTTCGCTTATATAAATTTTCTATTGCAGAAATGGATGCATGTCACTTTGCACTTTTAGCGCTTTTACTGCATCGTATCCGCTTTGAGCGCGCTCGCTGGCCTAACCGCTGCTTTGGTCGCTAGGAGGAAACGTTCCCGTCCAATGCTAATACCGACACAAGACTGAATCGAGTCCATTGGTGGAAAATTAGTTTTTCCTCGTTTGTAGCGCGCGAATGCTACACCGACTACACTACTGTTAGAAATACAACAACAAAAAACAAACATTAATTCGTAGCACACGAAGTTGAGATTGTCTAACTACTGCCACAGTGCCGAGTGACATAGACATCTTCGGTTTCTACAATTTTCGCATTCAATTTCGAAAATCTGCTCACAGACAAAAGGCACCAAAGGCTTCACATCGTTCAGCGTAGCGTATGAGTAACATAATAAATGCTAAGAGAAAGAGAAAGAGCGCACGAGAGAAAAAGTTCACAGGAATGAATAGTACAAGGAGAGAGCATCTACCTTCTTCACTTTTCTACGCATATGTTCGCGTTATGTTTAGCGAGTGTTGGTGCCAAGTTCCGCATGCTTCCTGTTTCACATGCCAATGCACACAATCGCGTACTTAGTGATTGAGCTGCAGCCTCTGTTGTAATTGGAGGCAGATGATAAGCCATATGCTGATAAGGATGAATTGTGGATGATATACATAAACCGCGTATCGTTATTCTGCAAAACCGCGTAATTGACATTTGCTGCCAAAAGTTGGATTTGCTCACACAAGCTCTTGGCCCAATCCGTATCCATTCGTTCTGAAATATACTAGCCAGAAATGCGATTGCTTTATAAAAAATTGAACCATTTTGATATATGAGTGTTCTTACTATCTAGAAATTAATTTATGCAACCTCACATACGCGGTTTTGCATTTTGTTGATAGGCGGCTTTGTACTTTAAACGACGATATGTATTACATAGAAGCTCAGCCAAACACTAACATATGTGTAAGCGCCAATCTATTATTATTATTATGTATTACATATACAACAGGAATATGGAACTTAAATCGTCTAAATAATTGAAAAAATTTACATACAAACTGCATTATTGATATTATAATATTAAGAAAATTTCCTCAACTGTTTAAGTGGCGTAATATAAGCTGTAGAAGAATAGCAAACTAAGGAAAAAAGTACAAACTGCTAGAACCATTTCTGAATGGCGAAAACCTGCAAATATTAAAATAAAAATGCGTATTCCTTAATTTCAAGGCGCAAGATATAGCCTTTACCATCAAGTAATGGAATGAGTGAATTTTATTTTATAATTTATCACATTTGAGGCTAATTAATTAGGTAAGTACACAAAAAAAAAATGTTTGGCTTAGACCGCTTCTGCTCTCATGGCCTCATATGTATGTGTCTTTTTCTGAAATAGAACCCACTGGGATAATGTACGACCAAAACCAAGCTTCCTTTGGAGCGTCAAGTTTAGGAAAATATAAACTTCTGTCTAAAGTTTGCAAGTAACAAAAATTGTACTCTCTCTATTTACGTATTGGCATTCATTCATATGAACATATATGTATATATGTATATTGACGACTAAACGCATAAATTTTCCTCATAAATTTGAACTCTCAAAAAATGTATATTTTCTTTTAACTTTAAGAATGTAAAGAAACGGATGCTGGTATTTTAAGCAAAATAAGTTTATCATTTTCTTTAACAAAAATAATAAAAAGAAAAAATTTATGAAACAAAATAAAATACGCTAAAAATTGTACGCGTGCATTTTTTTAGCCTTTGAAAGCAATTTGTTTCGCGCCAATAAGGAGCATTCCATAAACGTGCATCTCAAAAACACAGTCCACAATTCATTCGCTCATCACCTCTTAGTGCAACCATTTCGCTACACGCATGCTGGACGCCAGCTCTACAAAACTCAGAGAGCGCTGCACGCAATTTCGAACAAAGAGTGTGTTTGTATGCATTTCTGTGTAAGAATTCAAAGCTGAAATGCGCTTATCGTAACAACATAATATAATGAATATATTAATAGCTTTGCAGTTTGATTTTGTATGATTAAGAGATTTGGTGCTTCACTGGGTTAATGCACTTTCTCATCATCCACTTGTGAGCGTTTCCGGACTCGCTATTTTGGTTAGTTTAGTTATAGGGAAATGAAAGTTTGAAATTAAATAAAAACTAATGCAATTAATACCTGCCATGTAGTCAAGTATTTTCAAACAAACTCAAACAGTACTTAGTATTTCTTTTATAGTCTATGTTGATAAAAGTAAATTGTAAATGTAAGTGTAACAGAGATACAGAAAGAAAATCTAATGTGGAAATTTGAAGGATTTCAGTAATAAAAGTTAAGAAAATAGTGAAAATGCGTATATAACGAAAGAAGGTTTAAGTTAGTAAATTTACATGTATATATTTTGAAGTTAAATTTTGTTGATTGTTTGCATGAAAGTTTTATTTAACAGTATGTTTGACAAGCTAAAAACTTCATAAAATATAATGATCTTTCTTTCAGTAAGCATTTTTTTGCTCTCCTGAAAAATTATAATTTTGTCTTTTACAACGTTATTCGCGGGGATCCTTCAAATCATGTTTGAAAATTATTTTGACAACATTTTTAATTTTTTTTATGGTGGTAAAAACGAAAAATGAAATGAAACAGCTTTATATGATCCAAATAATAAGCTACGAACAAAGCTGTTTTTACTATTTTAAACCTTATTTTTTTGCGAACGGTATTTCTCTGATATATGTTATCTACTCCATATAACAATATTTGTACCCGATCAGGTTGTTCGATAACCAACATGAAAGAAAGTTTAAACAAAGAAGAAATGAAAAAATGCGCAACTGTTTGTGAACTCCCACCTTAACTATTATTTTATTCTATTTTTTGTCTGAACAATTTTATCAACATAAGCGCGGCTTTCTATTATAACATTGTCCCTCCGAATTTTCCAGAATGTCAGTTTTATAAATTTTGCCGTGATATTAACTTTAGTTGTTTTGCTTGCCTATGTTCATTGTAGTTAACAAGCGCAAGAAGTTGTTGATCGAATGACATAAGAAATATCTTAATAGAAGTAATTATTTTGTGTTTTTCAGTAAATCTATACTTGCACCATGGTAAGTACGGCTAAATGTTTCCTGAATGCCACCCAGTGTTTTATGCAAAAAACACTAAAAATAAGATAATTAGCAATGCGTTTTTATTTCTTAAGGAGTTTCAATGGTTTCCTTGTTTTTATATTTTCGTAAAATAAGACTCTTAGAAATAAAAAAAAAGTTGAAATATTTCCAGAATTTCACTTTTAGATGGAAATGAATTTTTTAATTAAATAGCTTATGTATCCAAAAGTGTTTAAAATACATATATGGTAAGTTGTTGCCGAAGAAAGATTAAACTAAAGGTCTGCATCCCAAGAAAAACTCCCTGCAACATTAGCTTATGTGATAAATGTGATATGGGCATTCCCATGGTGGCGCACGTGACAGTCGTACGATTTCAATGTGATACAAAAAAGGAATACCATTTGTTTTCTTTAACTTTTTTGGGCCATTGTATAGCACATAATTAGCTCTATATTTAACCGAAAAATGAAATCAATCGAACTGCTTGGTCCTGAAATATAAGCATTTAAAGAGAGTGTCGTTACGTGACAAAAAATGGAAGTTGATTTTTTCTTTTCTTACAAAATCGCAAAACTCTGCGAATTGTGGATGGCTATTTTCATGAAACTTATTTTAATATGATTTGGAGCAATTCTAGTTGTTTTTAGAGTTTTTTGAATTAATGCAAATTGTTTCAATTCTCTTTTACAACCCCAAGTGTGAAACGTGACGTGACGTGGCGTCACGTGACATAAATTTCCATCGTTATATTTTTGTTAATATTGCTTTTAAATGAATTTTTAACGCAAATAAAACATGTATTTTATGTAGAATATACTTTATATTTTAACTTCAGCGCCAATTCAGGGTCAATTTATTGGAAATCTATGATTTATTATGTTCCAACCACATACGCCAAATTCGCACCAAATCGGACCATAAATACGGTTTTTCGAAATATCTCGACCTTGGCACCACCTAGGAAGATCATTTTATGCAAACATGATTCTACTTACATAGCCAGTATATACTTTAAACAGCAGACAAATCGGCCCGTAAATACGTTAGATATAAAACTTTTATTTTTTTTGTCGTGGTGGACCTTCCGCTGGAAACACCCATATGCAAATGTTTAAAAGGCATGCATTTGGTGTTACAAATGAGTACAATGCTTATCGGTTAGTATATTTTTTTCTATGAGTTTCCAAACTTATTCACACCTTTAGCTTACTTTTAAAAAGTGACATTCTGGAAAATATTTTACAAAAATGCAAAAATAAGAAAAAAATAATTAATTTTTGAAGAGCCTGAAAGCAGTTTTGTATTCTGCACAAATTTTCCCGTCGGTAAACGATTTCAGAGGATAAATTTATCAATCTTAAAAAAAAAGATAAGAGATACCTGAAATGTACACTTTTTTGGAAATGACCCATATACAGTTCCATTAATGAACTTGTATAACACGGACACACGAAAGTATGCACTCTTTTGTGTTTTATGTCAGTTTTTGGCCGTAGTGTTAATCCAATTTAAAAGTATGCAAGCTTATAATAAAATTGAGTTGCACAGAATATTTTGGCATTTTTTCTTAAATATCGTTGATTATAAGTCTATTAAAATTTTTATAGAGGACAAAGAATACTTCGAGTTCTTTTAGGAGTACATACATGCATGTATTTTCGCTGAGTATCTTAGTGAATTTTTGCGAGTTGACTAAAGGCTCAAGCTTATTAGCCGACTGCCAAAAAAGGTGGGGGTTATCAGCTCGTCGGATTTTTTTTTTATGTATGCTACTGCATAACCGATGTTGATAATTCTTTTTGCATCGGAAAGGTAGTGTCTCAGAGGTGGTCCCATACTAATCTGGTTTAGATCCTATCATTGGATCATGAAAAAATGAACGGTACTCCTAAATTTTTATATGAGAATTGAAATCGGTTTTGTTTTTTGCTTAAAAATTACTTTTTTATTGAGTCAGGTCAGTGGCGCTAACTGACGGTGCCACCTTTTCTCACAACATTGTGAGTATGCGGTCTTAAAATGATCGTTCACTTGCCATGGCGGTGTTTACAAGCACTGCTCGCATTGTAGTGGTGATCATTCATCCACCGCATTTTATTTGAGTAGGTTTAATCCTGAATCCTATCGACCCTGCATTGCCAGAAGGCAATTATCCAGCACGTCATCTACTACATGCTTTAAAACCGAGTTACACATGCTATCGAAGGTGGCATAGCCAAAACATTTTCAACGTCTACCAAAATGCCCAAAGCGAATCGTTCTGGGTGCATATTTTGCATAGCCGTCTCACAAGATTTCCGCACCTGATAGGCATGTTGATGCAAAGACAGAGGATGTGATAAAATCTCCTGCCTACGAATGTGCAACTGAACGAAAATATCCTGACTTTTAAGCGTGAAAGACATCATGCTAATGGGCCTTTAGCTTTTAGGGCTAGTATAGTCGACTCGAACAACTTTAGGGATAAATACGTCGTCTACTATTTTCCATGAATAATCTTAATTTCTAGTATTTTTTTTCTTAAACAAATTTTTATGACAGATGTTGATTTGGTATAAAAACTGCATACTCCAATTGCATAATTTAAATTTTATTTTGATACGAAGTAAAGCCCGGGTCGGTCCCTATGCGAAAGGAAAACCTTTCCAATTACCCTCTAGTTTGATAGCTTCCCTTGGAAGGATTTAGAGTCATACAAATTTTCATCCTTGGCGAGTCATTAAAATAGACAAAATGAAGTTTTTTTAATAACTCTTTTATTTATTTTTGGTATTTTGAGTACTGTATATATTTCTTTTATCATTTTACCCTAAAATACCTCCTTAACCTTTTAAATTCAAACAGCTCAATTACTAGCCCATTAAATGAAACTTTGCTCTTCATAAAATTACAGATTTTAGTAAGCGATGCATTTTCCTCATTGGAATAGTAAAAATAAATTGGTTATAATAATAATAGATTGGCACTTACACATATGTTAGTGTTTGGCCGAGCCTTGATGTTGTCACACAAAGCGGAGGGACCTACAGTTTTACGCCGACTCCGAACGGCGATTGTATTTTTATGAGAAGCTGTTTTTCATGGCAGAAATACACTCGGAGGTTTTCCATTGCCTGCCGAGGGTCGACTGCTGTTAAGAAAAAACCTTTTTCTATATTTTTTTGTGATGTTGCTTTGACCTGGGCTTGAACCCAGGCGTTGCGGAGTGGAAGCGCGCACTGCTTACCACTACCCCACAGCGGCCGACAACAAAAATAAGTTAATTAGCAGAAAATAAAATAAATAAAATAGAATAGAAGTAAATGGTGCCATGGCAAGCGACCCATTTAGGCTGGTAGGCAAGTAATCTACTTTTTACCAAACTCGTTTTGCAAAACCAACGACAAAAGGCATGCACTTGATTACACTGTAGGGAAAATCTCAAACGACAAAAACGCCAAAACACGTAAAATTATGTGTTTTCTTTTCTATAAAAAATGTTGGCTTTTCATTGCCCTCTCCTTAGTATTTGTGCGTAGAGGGCACTGAAAAGGCAACAATGGTAGACAAGAAAACGCCATTAATTTTGGCTCGTAGATTATGGATCTGTATACCGTTTTCCAGATCTGATCATTTTCCCAAGATGTTGCAATTTTTTGGACTTTAACAAGGAAAAAATTAAAAAACTAAGAAATCTTTGCTAATTTTACATAACGGTTGTTCGCATAACGGTTGTTGAATAGAGAAGTCGATAACGGTATTTTCGAAAAATTCAAGAAAAGTGATATTTTAGTTAATATTGCATGCAAATTGTTGAAAACTAGTATGTGAAGTAGAAAAAAATATTATTATGAAATTTTTGGAAAATGGGCATGACCCAGCCCACTTATGCGGAAATTCTGTATCTCAGTAGCCTATTCACTAGTGATATTTCACTACCAGTGATTTTATCACTACGATTTAAAACTCACTATAAACTACTACTGCCAGGCAACAATATCAGTGATTGGTGATTTTTCTACTCGCATGATATTGCGCTGTGAATGAAAATCAAATCTGACAATAGCTAGTCAACAGAAGTTGCGAATGGTGATTTTTTTCTGGTAGAAAGGGTGATTTTACAATTTTTAATTATCATTGTAAATATGCTCGTATGTATATGGCGTTTTTTCATTACCTTTCCACGGTTGTTTTAAATGGACATGTTCATTAACGGAGTTTGATTTGCTTGATCGCGTTATTTACGTTTCAGTTTTTTATTTCAAAATTTGTATCAAGGAGTAAAGATGGCTGCAAATATTAATAAAAAACGAAGTGAATTTTGGCAATTTTTGAGCGAATAAATAAAGCTTTTCCCTCTTTTCCCTACACCCATTTTTTCCACTGAAATCCGTACGGGTAAGGATTTATCCAACAACGTCATCATTTATTGGAACTAACTATTAATATTTCTGTGTTATTAAAAGAACCAGCGTTCGCAATAGCCATAAAAAATCATTGTGATTTAAAAATCGCAATCACTCTTTTTACTGATACTGACAAATCGCTATTTCGCCCATCATCAACGAGACAGTTTAAAATATTCGAAACCGGGCAATGACTACGCGCACCTACCATATAACGGTAATTTACAATAACACAAAAACTGCGATAAATCAGTAACTATTGAAGCTAATTGACTCAAAAGCGTTTATTGCAATAACAACAGAGAAGGAAATTGGATTGTTATAAATTTTTGGATAATGGGCGTAGCGCTGAAAATTATTAAAATCGGACCAGTATATCTAACGGTAAATTTCAGAAATACGGAAACTCTGCTATTTCCAAATAAATACTTAACTTACAATAAATAAATAAGACTGCTATAGACTTTTAGGAATTGGGCGTGGTACCCAATATTAACGAGAACGTTTGAAATTGGGGAAAAAACACCCCTGCTGATCATGCAAAGGTAGGTTAGAGAATGTTAAAACGACGATATTTGATACCTGCGTCGGGTATATAGAATTCGGTTTCGCACGAACTTATACTACCTGTTTCGTGTCACTTACAGTGTTTTAAGGATCTAATATATTCTGAGAAGAGGATTCATAGGCCTTTAAACGATGTATAATAATCCATTGGAACCGCCCATTTTTAATATATCCTGAGTATCTCCAAAAGTATTTCAGCGATCTATACCAAATTAGGTAAACGAGCTAATCTCGAAAACTACTAAACGAATTTGGACGAGATTTTCTCTTATATACTATGTATCGATCGGAGAGTGCCCTTTTTTATTTAAAATTTTAATAGGGTTACCATCTGTCAAAAAACTATAAGATCCGCACCGTTCGTTGGATTACAAAAGGTGGGTGTCAAATGAAAGGGCTCGGCTTTTAGATTATCAATAATGTACTACTTTTTGAGTAGGGGTGCCCCTTTTTAATTAAAAGATGTTCTAGAAAAGCAATAATATTTTATTTTTTTTTAATAGTGTTGCCACCTGTTAATATAATTACTATATTCAATCATAATAAGCGTAGGCATCTCAAGTAGCACATTGGTGTATAACTTGGTGTAAATTTGTGAATTTCGGTACAATTAATCATATTTATACCAAAATTCATAAATGTACACCAATTTATACACCAGTGTGCTACTTGAGATCAGTTCTGCACCGTCACTGTCAAACGAAAGGACTTAGCAATTGTTCGATGCAGAGCTGAGTCACTTGTTCCTTACCTCGGGTGGGGGGTAACAAGTAATTCTCAGCAATGCTTGAACTACAAATACTCTTATTCTAAAATTCTCTACCCCTTACCACTGGTGGGGGAAGTAGAGTCTAATAAAATAAGAGGTTAGTACTTTCAATANAGTAACACCTTAATAAAGAAAGGGGAATAAAAATTATAAAATGCTTTACCCCTTACCGCTAGTGGGGGGAAGTAAAGCATACAAAATAAAATATAGAAGAAAAAGAGTGTTATTGAGAGTCTTTACGATTCCGAATATTTATTAAATATTTCATCTTTATATACAATTTTCTTACTTTATGTTTCCTAACTAATTGTATATGAACATATGTGTGTGTGTGTATGCATGTATGTCTACAAAAGATAAAATAAGAAACCAGTGCATTGGTACTTATGGTATTTTAGTTGTGCGTATCTGCTACATCTTTGCATGTTGAGAATATTAGGTCCATTGAATAACTTTTCCAGTAAGTATTTGCAGCAAGAGCGTAAAAGAAAAATAGATAGTAAAATTGAGAGCAAGAGAAAATTTCCAGAAAAAGTTATTGAACGCAAAACTAGTAAAAACTTGCAACTTAACCATTTTGACTCTTTCTGATGGTTAAAGCGCAGTTAGTCAACGACGTACCGTAAACGTAGGTTGATGTACGTAGCAGCATATCAACTTACGTCTACGCTACGTCGTTGACTGTTTGGGATTTTAAATTTGGCGCGCAATTTTCTTTTTAATTAAGAATAGTTTTCATCGTTATAAAAATGAAAAAATATACAATAGATTTAAATTTTTCATCCATATTTTCATGTCACCAATTATGTTTCATCAAATCATCCTCTTAAACAGTTTGTTAACATTTGAATTTGAAACATAACCTTACTTTTTGACTCCTGCAAATTCCTGNTCAGTTCTGCACCGTCACTGTCAAACGAAAGGACTTAGCAATTGTTCGATGCAGAGCTGAGTCACTTGTTCCTTACCTCGGGTGGGGGGTAACAAGTAATTCTCAGCAATGCTTGAACTACAAATACTCTTATTCTAAAATTCTCTACCCCTTACCACTGGTGGGGGAAGTAGAGTCTAATAAAATAAGAGGTTAGTACTTTCAATATTAAAAGTTTTACCCCTTACCACTGGTGGGGGGACCCTGCAAAAATCGTTGGACCATGTAGTCTATTTGTGGTNAGCTTGCAAGAATTTGCAGCTCTCTCGGGTGGTTACGCTCTCGAATTCGCTCTCTCTTGCAAATATTTTGGGTTATTGAATGCATTTCCAGTAAAAACTTGCAAGTACTAGTAACAATTCGTAACAATTTTTTGATATTGAATGGACCTATTGATAGGCAATGCATTTTCAGTATTGATTTTTTAATCTTTCCCGTATGCGCTGCATTTTATGTGTGTTTATATTTTTACGACTGATAAAGGATCAACCGATTCAATATTTTATTGTTTCTCGCGAACGTTCCTTACATTTAATTACCTACTTTTGTGCGTCGAATACACTTGACATTCTTATCGTATGTTTGTGTTTGGATATATACATATGAATTTATATTTTCTTCTATCTATATTTTCTTCAGTGGACTGTATTTTAGTTTTGGTGCAAGTGCACACTTTTTATCTTTCCTTAATATATATTCAAGGATTAGAAAAATTTATTACAATTTTAAGTTTGAGTATTTTTAAGACCCAGGCATATATGTATGTTTGTATGTATTCACACATGTTCAAAGATGTTTGAACAGCAATTATGTATTACTAGTGAACCCACATGGCGTCAAAATGGCAGCATTTAATTAAATATTTTAAACAGGTGAAACCCTATTCAAAAACCTCTAAAAATATTCCTAATAATTAATCTAAACCATTTCTCAGTGATGAGAGGTCTCGCATGGTGTCGGTTTTCATTTCATTAAATTTCAAATCTCCCTGTAACTTCAAAAAAACTAAACCTGTGCACATCTATGTAGAATCCCAGTTCTTTATTTTGACTTCTCATTTTGGAAATTCGATATAACGTTGCAGATGTGATGACCTTCAAAAAAAAATAGATGGCACCTCTAATANTACTCTAATTAAAAATATTATCAATCTATAGTTTTCTTAAGACTCTTTCGTTTGACACTAATATTTCGATATTGCATTTATGTATCTTTCGTATAAGTAAAACAAATTCGACTTTTCGAACAGGTGGCAACCCTATTAAAAGTATTTTCAAACTTAAATTTTTTCACCTGGCATTGTTACACATATTTCAATTAACTGATGAACTAAGTTGAATTGAATTTTTTTAAGCGCATGGCAACTGTCCTAAACACAGTTTAGAAATAAATTATTTTCAAACTCATTTCGATTGATACAGATCTTTTAACAATCCATTTAACTTATTAAATAATTTGAGCTTAATTTTTTCAACAAAAAAAAACAAATGTTCAGCTTAAAGATTTCTTAACACTCGTTATTTTGATAACCCTATTTTAACATTTCATGTAACTTATGTATAATGAAACGAAATACCACTTTCAAAACAGGCGGGAACCATCTTAAAAACTTATTTTCTAACTAACATTTCATGTAACTGATGAATTAAGTGGAAATTTATTTTTAAACACGTAGCAATCCTCCTTAATTTAGTTCTTAAATAAAGGATTTTAAACCCATTTCCATTGATAACCATCGGTTAGTAACTCATTTAACTTATTAAATATTTTTAGTTGAGCCATTTAAACTGGGGCAACCCTCAAACCCATCAAAAATGTTCTAGATTGTCAAACTAAGTATTTCTTAAAGCTCTTTCATTTGACATCCATCATTAATATTTCATATAGGTGGAAACCCTATTCAAAATATTTTTAAACTACTATCTTCTTAAACACCCATGTATGACACCCATATAGCGATACCTTCTTCACTTACCAAATTCCTTTAATTAAAATTGAATAACATTTTTTTAACATGTGGCAACCTTCCTATACGTAGTTAAGTTATAAAGCCTTTTCAAAACCATTTCGATTGATACCCATATTTAATAATTGTTTTACCTTTTTAATTAATTTGAGCTTAATTTCTTAACAGGTGGCAACTTTTTTCGAAAAAGTAAAACCTTCTTGAACATCCACACCCTAAGCCCAAACGGTGTGGATCTGATAGCATTGATTATGAAATTATGTGAATGCAATTTTTATCAGGTGGCAACTCCTTTCAAAAAAATAAAACCAGTTTGCACATCTACAGGCCAGGCGCTTTAATTTGACACCCCATTTTTGAAAATCGAACGAACGGTGCAGATTTTTTATGCGGAACAAAAAATGCCTTCGCCTATTATTTTGAACTTAATTTTTTAAAAGGTGGCAACTCTTTTCGAAAAAGTTAAGCCTTATTGCACACCTAAAGTCAGAGCCCTTTGATTTGACACCTCTCTTTTGAAAATCGAACGAACGGTGTGGATCTGATGGCATTGATTATTAAATTATTTGAATGCAATTTTTTTATCAGGTGCCAACTCTTTTCGAAAAAGTAAAACCTTATTGCACATCTACAGACCAAGCACTTTAATCTGACATCTCATTTTTGAAAATCGGGCAAAGGGTACAGATCTTTTATGCTGCAAAAAAATTCCTTCGCGTATTATATATATAGATAGATAGATAATTCGAATTTAACTTTTTAAACAGGTGGATACCCTACTCAAATGCTTTAAAAATATTCCTAATGTTTAAACTAAGATTTGCTAATACTTTTTTGTTTGATAACATTTTACACAGGTGGCAACCCTCCTCAAACTCATAAAATATATTCTCAATGTCTAAACTAAGATTTCGTAACAATTTTTAGTTTTATATCGATAATTGAATTAAATTAGACTTTTCGAACAAGTGGCAGCCCTATTAAAAATATGTTCAATCTAAAATCTTCTTAAATCTCTATCGTCTGACAC